ACAGCACCCTCACCCACACACACAAAGCATACACTAACAGCACCCTTACACACACAGCACACTCCCACACACTAACAGCACCCTTACACATACACACACAGCACACGCTAACAGCACCCTTACACACACAGCGCCTTCACACACACAGCGTCCGCACACACACACACAGCGCCTTCACACACAGCGCCTGCACACACACAGCACCCTCACACACAGCACCCTCACACACACAGCAGTGTGTGTGTGTGAATGTATATATGTGTGTATATATAAATGTATATACACGCGGCGTGTGTGTTTCTGCTTTAGGGTGCACACCCTTATACAATAGGCTGCGCACGCCTATGGAAGTTATCATGGTACCTGGAGAAACCCTTTAAGTCCAAGATATTGTTTTTTAAAGTAACTCTTTAGACTTGCTTTCAGATTATGAAGACCTCTATCTACCCTGCTGATTATTAACAGGGTTTTGTTTAAAGTGGGCTGTACGTGATGTTTGCGTGTAGTAGAATGTTTACATAAAACTGTAACAGTTACAGCATTTTGTAGACTTCATCTATATATGCAATAAATAAAAAAAACTTCCAAAGAAGGTTAGTCACAAAGTATCTATATTTTGGCCACTTTCGGAGCTTCAGAAATTTTTTCCAAGCATCTAAAACAATAAGAAAACCTTCTAATGGTCGACCCACACCCCTTTTAGCTTTCAACTCAGCCTCGATTCATGGGAATATGGACTCTACATGCTATCAGAACGTTCCACATGTGTGCTGGCTGTGGCCCATGTTGACTCCACTCTTTCCCACGATTGTGCCAGTTTGGCTGCTAGTGTAGTATTGTGTTTAATGTCAGAACGCAGAGGCTTGGTGCGGTTAAGATCTGGAGATGTGGTTGCCGCCACAGTAAACTGAATAAATGGTCATGTTGGTCGAACCATCCCTGGCCAGAACTTGACCTATTGTCCTTCTGGAAACATCAATTAACATATGAACGATCTATATCTATGGAGGAAAGCTCTTTATTGGCAATGATGTTCTGGTATCACTACAAGAGATAGTTAGATGACTACCTGTAGCCCACCTGCCTCTAATCTCAGCTCGTGCCCTTCAGCCTCTTTTATCAATGACGTCTATTGATGGAATGCCTGTTTGGGAGGTTGTCCATCCTGCAGGACTGACATTACTGACGCACAAACTGCTGTGGTACTTCTAGTGATTCTTCACATTTTTCCAAACAAATCCGGACACCTTGGACGGATAATGCAGCAGTGAAACTTTTTTGTAAAATTTTGATGACAACAGAGCAGTCGACCTTGCAGTGCCAGAAGAGACAATTTGTTTGAAAATGGTTTGGCCCAAAAAATTTTTTTTAAATACCAGGGGCACATGAAAGACTCCTTGCACCACAATCACTGCAGTGAGCCGGAGTGTTTATAGTACTTAGAATGTCCCTTTAAAGGCTTAGAGTTCCTAAAATGTCTCATCCTCTACATCCACTCTGATTACAGAGGATTTAACCGTTGATAAGGGATTATGGCTTTCACCTGACTTCACCCTGTCAGTCTATTTCATGGTAAGACCGGCTGCTTTTATTAACAAGGAGGTGCTACAGATAATTTTACTGTCAGTTCGAACCTATATCCTTGTTTTTTGTTTTTTTCGATGAATAAACTTATTTTGAACCCTCATTAAATGGCAGATTTTCCATCTGTTGGGAGCGGTGAGCAAAAGATTTATGTCACTTCACACACTTGAAAAATATTTTTGTGAAATTTGGCAATAACATGTTTTCCAATGATTTGTGATAATAACAGGAAAACCCATTTTTATGGGAACCTGTATAAACCTTAATGTGCCGCTACACGTGGCGTTCATGCAGAATGCTGGCCTCGCGCAGCAGGGGAGCAACGAAAACAATGAGCCATTTCTCTTCTTTAGTTTTTCTTTCCTGTGAATTCTACAGAATTCCCTCAATCATTAGAGACAGAGGAGAAGCCCCCCTCCTTAATCCTAGTGATCTTACATAAACCGTACAAAGGGGTGCTGACAGGAGGGAATTATAGGCATCCACAAGGTATGTCAGGTACATCCGCAGGAACACTCCCCAAACCCTCTCCACCTGCGCAACAGTGCCAACTGCCTTGTACAGACACACCATGACATGTATACACAGCATGAGACAGTGTCAGCTACCTCTTCACACACACTATTACACCACGACATGTATACACAGCACGAGACAGTGTCAGCTACCTCTTCACACACACTATTACACCACGGCATGTATACACAGTGTAGCGGATGGCACTGGGCTGTCCTGAGAATTTCATGTATGTTAATGCATTCGTGTGAAAACAGCAAAGTTCTATGTATTTAATGTATTGCATTCGTCTGAATGTTCGGTAGTTTCATTCCCTTGGTTTGTTCGAATGAAACTACCGAACAGTCAGACCTCCTCTGTGTGAAGTGTGTCTTCAATTACCCGTTGCAACATTGTTGCGAACGGGTAATTGACAAGCTAAGTAGCCGTCCTTTGTTCTCGGGGGTGGCCGCCATTAGAAAAACGAACACATGGCGGCGGCCATTTTAAACCTCCCGGACAGCGGTGTTTTGCCGTCGAGTGTCTGGAACTCAAATCGGACACTCGACTAGGCGAACACCGCTGAAACCTCCACAAGCCCGGTCTGTTCGGTTTCCAACTACCGAACGGCCCCTCGTTCGGTAGATAGAAAGAACCGAACGAGGGGATTCAGGCGAACCCTCCCTAGCCTCTGTAACTAGAGGTTTTCATGTCGTTTATTCCCTGACTCCAGGACCGACCGCAGGGCCCATTCACATGGAACCTCATTCGGCTGTTTCACCCAGTGCGGTCGGTCATTTTATTCCCTCCATAAATTTCCCGAACCGCTGGTCTGATCTGGGTGATTTTTGGATATGTTGTTCACCCAGATCAGGGACTACCAGGGGATGTATGATTTAAAGTGGTACCCCTAAGTTTAGGGGTACATCCAGAAACGGGGGGAATTGGTGTGCTGGATAAGGGGATTATGATGCAGGCTGAGGGGAGGAGATGCGAGGGAGGTTACCAGGACAGGATTGGCTACTGTATGAATGAAAATCCCTCCCTTGCATGGGAGCAGGCTTTAAAAGGTCACTGTCTGAATAAAGCTTTAGTTCTGCTCCTGAAACTGTGTGTCGTCCAGTTATTGGGATTGCTGTTGGGATACTGCTTTATTTTGCCTGCTGGATACTTTGCCCTATGGATTTATAATTGCTTGTTCTTGAACCTCCCTGGGATTCAAAGTGGACATAGGCTGTGTAATACCAGCTCTCCGCTACACACAGCACGAGACAGTGTCAGCTACCTCCTCAAACACACTATTACACCACGGCATGTATACACAGCAGGAGACAGTGTCAGCTACCTCCTCAAACACACTATTACACCACGACATGTATACACAGCATGAGACAATGTCAGCTACCTCCTCACACACACTATTACACCACGACATGTATACACAGCATGACACAGTGTCAGCTACCTCCTCACACACACTATTACACCACGACATGTATACACAGTACGAGACAGTGTCAGCTACCTCCTCACACTATTACACCACGGCATGTATACACAGCATGAGACAGTGTCACCTACCTCCTCACACACACTATTACACCACGACATGTATACACAGCACGAGACAGTGTCAGCTACCTCCTCACACACACTATTACACCACGACATGTATACACAGCACGAGACAGTGTCAGCTACCTCCTCTCACACACTATTACACCACGACATGTATACACAGCACGTGACAGTGTCAGCTACCTCCTCTCACACACTATTACACCACGACATGTATATACAGCATGAGACAGTGTCACCTACCTCCTCACACACACTATTACACCACGACATGTATACACAGCACGAGACAGTGTCAGCTACCTCCTCACACACACTACTACACCACGACACCATGGCATGTATACACAGCGAGAGTACAGAGCAGACAGTGACAGTGTCAGTCTCCTTCTCACACACACTACTACACCACGACACCATGGCATGTATACACAGCACAGGTACAACACAGGCAGCATTTTTTATTTTGTTGTAGTTAAATTTAGCAAAATGCAGCCTAAATCGACTGTCCGTTCTGTGTAAAGATTACCAAGGCCGACTTTTGTGACTGTTAGTTAGAGTAGAATCGCCAGCTTTGATCAGTGAGAAATGAGAGCGAAAGGCCGTTGAAACAAAGAGTGTCAGGGCGCTTTGCGGGCAAAAAATAACTGGCAGCCAACGCCAGCAGTGGGAATCATGAAAATAACGAATGGCAATGTAAGACTGAAAAATGGAAATAATAAAACTGGAAATGTCTAAATACTGAGCAATGAATAATAGATCCAGTAATCTAACACAGACAGCATATAACACCATGCGTGCCGCCGACGTCACATGCGCACTGACAGCGGCAGACAGTCCATGTGCTTCCTATTAATACGTGTGAGGGGTTAATGAGAATACCACTTTCTATCTCATGACAGATTTTACCTTTTAGCTGAACACAATCAGGTGCATTGTTAGTGTAGGACCCACCTAGGAGTTTGGCTTTGACATGGCAGGTGAGCTTACACTTAAATAACTATTTAGGTACTTGGGAGAGTGCGCAGGTAACGATTTTGGTTTTTATTCCATGTTTGGGCTGATGAATACTGTAGCCATTGCCGCTGCCCAGGAGCAGTGGGAGTTTGAGCGCAGGGTTTAATTCTGTGCTTTCATAGTATAAACATAACCAGCATGAAGAAGGGGCAGTGCAAGAGGCTTGTAAGGGACACAAACAGATTATTTAAAGTGAGGAGACGGTGCCGCTTACTGTCAGAGAGAAGTCTTTCTTATCCTAATCCGCCCCCTAGTGATGTTTGTGGGTAATACAATTGGGGAAACATATTCCGTGTTATTTACGAAAGAGATAATTTTTTGCATATTTAAGTGAATTCAGAAACATTCTCTAAGCCTTCGGTTTGGCTATTTTGGCCTGAAATTTAAATTTGCTTTGAATTCCTGCAAATTCTCCCATTAGTGAATAATCCTGTTCATTTCACTATGACTGCTAAATCGAGCAGGAATATTGCAGTATCAGGTTTTTTACATTTATCTTTCCGGGTAACTTGGAATATGAAGTAAATCGAAACTATTCCTTAAACCCTAATTTGCCAATTCCATATTAAAAATCTAGTATTTAGTAATCTGTGAGTGGTGGCAGCCATCTGACCAGGTATAAAGTTAATAAGGGGGATTTATAAACCATAGCTGGATTCAGAGCCATGTTTCTCCCCCGAGTTCAGAGAATCTAAGAACTGCGAGCTAACTCGGAGCTAAATACCAGCTCAGGACAAACGACGACATCCAGAGTTACAGCGTGAGCTGACAAGCTTTCCTAAACACATGCCCCGTTTCTGGATATTTTTATACGCAGAGATTAAAATTTGTGAGAATTGTCAGCCTCTTTACTCAAAGAATTGCCTTAATTAAAATGTATACATTTCAGTTCCTTTGACGATTCACATTTTCAGCCACAGTTTTGTGTTTAAAGTTTCACTTTTTCTACCAAGCTTATTTCATATAGAAACATAGAATGTGACGGCAGATAAGAACAGTTTGGCCCATCTAGTCTGCCCAATTTTCTAAATTGACATAACGAGTTTGTTAATTGTGAAATGGATTAAATGACTGTTGATTAAGAGATGATAACGTTTTAGGAATAGTGTTCTTTAGAATAAAGGTCTCGTAATGGGGTTCTCCGTTTCATGTCACCACTGCCTTCTCCCACAAGGTGGATTGTCATTAAAGTTATGGCATCTGTGTTGCGTAATTTAATAAATGCTTTAACTACTGGAACTGGTTCTTGCTGGATACGTTTTGTGAGCTATTGGTTAACTGCTGCAAAGGACAAAACCTGTTTCATGATACAATCAGTTTCCAGTCTTTCTGGCTATAAATGGTTCCTTATCTTTCCGGTGACAAGCTTTTGACTGCAGTCAAGCTGGTCAACATGGGGTCCAATAAATGAACCTTACCATTGTAATCTGTCATTTGGTCATGTAGTAGGAAGGCTGACTCATGGCAATATGAATACAACCCTCTCTATAATGCCCTCTCTTTTGACAAAAAGTGCAGATTTAATAGAAATTGAAAATAGAAACTGTAGCGGAACGCCAATAATAAATCCACGAATTCCGCTGGTTCAGAAACGAATCCACAGTCAAGCGCTGAAACAACAAGGCAATATCCCCAACCTCCCAATAACCGGACGAGACACAGTTTTGGGAGTCAACTGAAATCCTTTTAATCGGCAAGACAATTTATACAAGTCCCCATGCAAGGGGTTTCCTGAGTCCCTCCCCAGGGGCACTCCCAGAGGGGACTACATGGGGGACTTACATGACAACATATTTCTCCCATCAGGCACCGCTGCACGAGAGGGGTCATCCTCCCAGAATGCACCGTTAAGGGGATTATCCCCTCGTGCAGCAGAACCGGCAATTCACATAAAAATCCATAACTTGTTAAATACACGGTGGATTTACACGAATGGACGTTCGGTAGATAGCTGGGGTCTGAGCGCATCATTCGTGAGATTACCGCTCAGATCCCAGCTAAAATAACCAAACGCCGCACAGAAAACACATTTCTTATAAAGCATACGAAAAGGACTGATTACTTCTAGCGAACACGATCCTGAAACTCCCGAACGTCCTGGAGGCTCAGCGGTGTTCGTGCCGTCGAATAGCTATTGGTAATACTATGCGTTCGACAACTCGGTCCTGCTGAGGAACAAAGGATCCAAGATGGCCGACCGCCGCATGGTCGGTAGTCGAACGACGGCCACCCAGGAGAGCCTCTAATAACCGATTGCAACAATGTTGCAATCGGTTAACTAGCGCCACACGCCTCCAAGTGTGTGGGCTATTAGGGGTTATCGCGTTCGGTTCACGAACGGCTTTCTAAAGTGCCGTTCGTGAAACGAAAGAAAATCCCCATACAAAACCGCCATTTGCATTCGGCGGAAACAGCAGTACAGGCAATACAGAAAATACATTAGCATATACATAAGTGTAAAGCGCATATCTCGCCAGACCTATTGGCAACCCTTAAAGGCACAGTCTCTAGTTATAGTCCAAGTGGCTAGGTTTGCCACAGAAACCTTGTTACACCGCTCTGGCTGTCAATGGAACAACCGGCCCTGTTACTTCCTGGTTTGGTTAGCTCAGTGGAGATAGACTCAAGAGGCAGCAATTGCCCAGAGCACCTGCCTTGCACACACTTCTCATTGAGCTGCATGGGGAAGTCTGTGATTGGATAGACACAAAGTCTGGGCGGGGTTAGAAGTGGAGGGCCTGCAAAGGCTGCAGACAAGAGATCTGCAGCTTTTGCAAGCTGCTTTTAGAAAGCATTAAATGCCTGCATCTTTTCATTTGTGGTATATATACTAAATGGTGATTTTAATTTTTTTTTTATTGTATTTTTGCAGAGGAGTGTCCCTTTACCGATGAATTTCACTTTAGCAATCTTTCGTGTCAGACAATAACTTTTCCTGCCTAGGTATATTACATTCAGGGTTCATGGCTTGTAGAGTGACGTCCTATTCTGTAATTAAGGGGGACAGCTTATCCTTCTTGGATGTCTCTCTAAACCAAATACATTGTCCTGCTGTAAATAATAGTGTTGTTGACTCTCTCCCAGAGTGACACGTTTAGAAGTTCAAAAGTGATGGATGCTCTTTAGGTACAAATTTAGTTGTTGCTGTTTTTTGTTAAATATATTATATTAATTCTAAAAATTAGATTTATTGACTTACAATCTTGCCCTGGGTAAAATATAACAAAAGAGCAGGACCAAAACCTGCTTAGACCCCAAATCGTTTTCATCCGGCTTATAAAGGGCAGATTAATATACGGTTTATAGTAATGGGAGCCGTGCGCAAATTGAAAGGGTTGATATCTTTATTTCCATAACGTGATAACGTGTAGCCCATTTTCTCACTCACATTTCATTTTCAGTTCTTCTTTTTGGGGCTAATCTTTACCTCAGTATTTACGTGAGTCTTGTTTAGAGTCATTTGCATCAATGAACAGCGATATTTACATCTTATTCTGAGAAATGACTCCTTGTACTATCACGTTTCATGTTTTTCTAAATGCTGTGAAAATTAATAATATTAAATACTGATATAATGTGAATTCTGCAGAGTGGTGTTTTCATTGGGTCTGTGATCATTTATTTCAAACTCGAATTTAATTGAACTTGGAAGACTGTATTTAAAGGGGAGCGGCCGCTAACCAGGATTTTTCATATTACATTTACTAATCCCTATATTGAACAAATCTATATTTGTGAGGGTGAAAAATAAAATTAAAGGGACACTGCAGGCACCCAGACCACTTCAGCTAATTGAAGTGGTCTGGGTGCTGTGTCCCTTCTGCACTCACGGACCTCCAGCGTCAGATTTTCCCCATAGGAAAGCATTGAATAACGGGGAGGTCTAATGAGCGCTCTGACTTCAGCTGGGGAGGAGCGTGGGTGGAGCCTGACCCAGCGACGAGGGACATCGGCGCTGGATTCAGGTAAGTAGCTGTAAGGGGTTTTAACCCCTTCAGCGACATGGGATGGGGGAGGGAGGGGGCATGCCAGGATTCTCTAGTGCCAGGAAAACGGGTTTGTAGCTATCGAGACTTCTATATCCTGTAACTGGCCATTTTAGCTCCCTGTCAATCATTGTTATAAGCTCCACCCATTGCAACTGGCAGTCAGCTTAGAAAGAACATACAGAAATGAAACAATGTGTCGATTTCTCCTCTTCTTTTGCCTGCACCGAACTGGTTCATAACGTCATTTGCTAAATCTTTCACATTTAAAAGAAAATGGAGCCTCTCATGAAAAAGGTTAACATGAGTTAAAATTAGGGATTATTCTAGCTTTCAGTGAACGAATAATCTGAATTTTATTAAAGACAGGAGGCGAATATTTGCTTATCTTTCTTTACTGTAACTCCCAGCAGCAAAGAAATGGTTAACAATGTTGT